TGTGGGCCATACAGTTTCTGTTTTAACTATCTCATTCTAACATCGTAGTACAAAAGTAATATGTAAAGACTGTGCTCCACCGGGCGCGGTGGATCATGCCTGTAATCCCAGCACTTCGGGAGGCCGAGGCGGGTGGATCACGAGGTCAAGAGATCGAGACCTTCCTCGTCAACATGGTGAAACCCCATCTCTACTAAAAATACAAAACATTAGCTGGGCATGGTGGCACGTGCCTGTAATCCCAGCTACTCAGGAGGCTGAGGCAGGAGAATTGCCTGAACCCAGGAGGCGGAGGTTGCGGTGAGCCGAGACCGTGCCATTGTACTCCAGCCTGGGTAACAAGAGGAAAAACTCCGTCTCAAAAAAAAAAAAAAAAAAAAAAAAAAGACTGCTCCAGTTAAATTTTTTAAATGCTACAATTCGAATTTCACAAAATGTCTGCACGTAATGAAATATTCCTATTTATTTATTTATTTTTGAGACAAAGTCTTGCTCTGTCGCCCGGGCTGGAGGGCGGTGGCACAGTCTCAGCTCACCGAAACCTCTGCCTCCCAGGTTCAAGCAATTTTCCTGCCTCAGCCTCCCAAGTAGCTGAGACTACAGGTGCCCACTACCATGCCTGGCTAATTTTGTATTTTTAGTAAAGCAATAATAGGGTTTCACTATGTTGGCCAGGCTGGTCAAGAACTCCTGACCTCAAGTGATCCACCCCCCTCAGCCTCCCAAAGTGCTGGGATTTCAGGTGTAAGCCACTGCGCCCGACCATTAAATACTCTTTTTATTTTCTTCAACCATTAAAAAGATGTGGAAACCATTCTTCTTAGTTGGCAGGCTGTATAAAAAGCGGCAGTGGGTCAGGTCTGTTATGTGGGTCATAGTTTGCTGCCACCCCCCAGGTGCCCGACTTTCAGCCCAGGGCCCCCAGGTGCCCAACTTTTAGCCCAGGGCCCCCAGGTGCCTGACTTTCAGCCTAGGGCCCCTAGGTGCCCGACTTTCAGCCCAGGGCATCAGTGATTATCCATAGTGGCTAAGTGGGGGTACAAAAGACGGTGGACACCGAGCCTCTGCATCTAGGTCCCTGTTGTACTTCAGATTTGCTATGTGACTTCAGGCAACTCACTTTCCTTTTCTGGGCCTATAAATCAAGCAGGGTAATGGCGTTCAAATCTTTTCTCTGTGCACCCCCTCCACCCCGCTCCCAGGGATTTTTCCAAAGCAAAGCTAACACAGAACTCTACCTTCAAAAGCTAACCTAAAGGGCACCTGCTCTGACTGGCCGGGAATGTGGCTGGGGTCCCTGCCCACTCCCTCTCATTCCGCTCACAGAGTCTCTATAGAATACAGTCTGCAAACCTTTGAACCAGCCAGTCTCTAAAATCTAACTAAGGCAGCCTAAACCAGGGATTCTCAACCCCAGGGCTTGACATCCGGGACCGGATAATTCTTTGTTGTGGGTGCCATCCTGTCCTGTATTGTAGATTGCTACCAGATGCCAGTGGCAACCTTCCCACCTCAAGCTGTGACAAACCAAAACTGTGTCTTGGGAGGGTGGAGATGGGCAAAATTACCCCAGGTTGTGAACACTGACCTAAGCCACCTCTTTCAGGAAACCAAACCTCAGAATCCTTTTGCTATTTGGTGTTAAAGAATGTGCTTAGAGATCTTCCTTCCTTCCTTCCTTCCTTCCTTCCTTCCTTCCTTCCTTCCTTCCTTCCTTCCTTCCTTCCTTCCTTCCTTCTTTCCTTCCTTTCTTCCTCTTTCTTTTTTTTGACACTTTGGGACACTGAGAAGTCAGCTAGAAAAGGTGACCTATAGGGGCCGGACGCGGTGGCTCAAGCCTGTAATCCCAGCACTTTGGGAGGCCGAGGCAGGTGGATCACAAGGTCGAGAGATCAAGACCATCCTGGTCAACACGGTGAAACCCCGTCTCTACTAAAAATACAAAAAATTAGCTGGGCATGGTGGCGCGTGCCTGTAATCCCAGCTACTCAGGAGGCTGAGGCAGGAGAATCGCCTGAACCCAGGGGGCGGAGGTTGCGGTGAGCTGAGATCGCGCCATTGCACTCCAGCCTGGGTAACAAGAGCGAAACTCCGTCTAAAAAAAAAAAAAAAGAAAAAAAGAAAAGAAAAGAAAAGGTGACCTGTAACCTGAGTTTTCAGGGAAGTATGTGACCTCACCAGGTGAGGAAAGGACCTTTGTGGCCAAGGTGTAGCATTGTCCCTGGGACACAATAAACAGTGAACTCAGGGAGGATATGGTAGGGAGCACAGGAAGTGAAGCTGGGAGGTGGCCAGGACTTGGTTAAAAGACTGCGGATGCTTGGAGATGGAGTTGTTATTCTGAGGGCCATGGGGGAGCCGTTGAAAGGTTTGGCAGGTGAGGGACTGACGGATTTGGAAGCTCAAACTGGTGTCTCATGAAGGGCAGTCAGCTTGGGGCAGAGAGGCCAGTGAGAGGCAGGAGCAGCGGCCCAGGCTGTCACAAAAAGGGGACAATGTGGCAAAAATTAGAGAAATGCATATGGATCTGGAAGATTCAGACTGACATGGATTTCAGCAGCTCCTCTCCTCAGTCTCCACTTATTAGCTGTGAACCCCACGCAATGCATTTCTCTCTGAGCCTCCATGACTTAGCTGAGACAACTAAATGGTAAGAGTGTGTGGCTGGTGACATGTAATAAGTGGGTACAAATGGCAGCTCCCTTCCCTACACTGTTGAGACAGAAGCTGATGACCCATTTTCTTTCTCTCTCTCTTTCTCTTTCTTTCTTGAGATGGAGTTCAATGGCTGGAGTTGAATGGCATGATTTCGGCTCACCGCAACCCTGGGTTCAAGCAATTCTCCTACCTCAGCTTCGTAAGTAGCTGGGATTTACAGGCATGTGCCACCATGCTCTGCTAATTTTATTATATTTTTAGTAGAGATGGGGTTTCTCCATGTTGGTCAGGCTGGTCTTGAACTCCCGACCTCAGGTGATCCACCCACCTGGGCCTCCCAAAGTTTTGCAATTACAGGTATAAGCCACCACACCTGGCACTGATGACCAGTTTTCTCTTCTGAGTTGCCCAGCTGAAGCCAGGGAAAGTCTGAGTATGCTTGTTCAGAGAGGATCACCAAGCTGCCTGGGCAGCATCGCAGACCTGATGCTGGGACCAGTTTCTGAAAGGTGGGGAAGAAGACTGCCAGAAAACCTGGGGTAGAGTCCTGGATTTCAATCAGCCCTGGGGCCCAGCCCCTTCTGGTCCCAGCTATACTGCATCCAACTGGGTCCTGAGCCAAGTGACACCTGGTCCCTACACAAGGGAGGTCCCCATAAACTAGGGGAGACCCACAAATAGAGCCATTGTGTCATGCGAGGACAGACCTAGGCCAAGTCCTCAGGCTAAGGGCTTATTAAATCCCAAAAGCCACCCTAGGAAGGAGGTGCTGTTGTCTCTGTTTTACAGAGAAGGAGGTGGCCAGAGTCTACCAGCCTGAAAGTGGCTAAGGCAGGAAGTCACCATGACTTGTCCAGTTCCAGGGCCTGAGCTTCCGGCCTGGCCCAGGGACTCAGGTTGCAGCAGGGCTTGAGGGTTGTGCTAGCAACACCAGCTTGTCCAGGCCTGGACTTCAACATCACCAACCTGTGACTCACTTCTGGGACTACACAGGCAGGGCTAGGAGGGTCCATTTTGACCAGTGAGGGGCCCACAACACACACAGATGCCTGCCCTGCAGAAATGAGTGGAGCCAGGAGCCGAAAGCTCTGTGGCCTCCAGTTTCCAATTCATATCTCCCCTGAGCTCACAAGGGTGCGGAGAGGCCTGCTGGTGGCCTTTAGTCCCACCTCCAGACTGAGCAGAGCAAAGTCAAAGGAAGTCTGCCTGGTCCTTGTCTCAGCTCTGGAGCCTTGCACAGACAGGCCTGTGGCCCTCTCTGAGCCTTAGTTTCCCGTGGTAAGACAAGGACATTGATAGACCACATGCACAATGAAGACGAAAAGAGATCCCGGGTAAAAGGACTTCACCTGCGGGAGGAGAGAGCGTTCATGTTCTCGGGGGGGAATATTTCTTCAGAGACAGAGTTTGGGGCCGGGGCCTGGGCCCTGCCGCTGACCTGCTCTGTGACCTGCAGCCAGTGGCTTCCCCTCTCTGGGCTTCAGATCCTTGCTAGCCAGGCTGTTCCACCTTCTGTCCTTGGGCTGGGAAGAGAGTTAGTCACCCCCAGCTCACTGGGGAATCAAGGCGATGGCAAGGGCAAACTGGCCCCAGTCCCCCCGCCTTGCTGGAGTAGCAGGAAAAGGCAAGAACAAAACCCAGACCCAGCTGGGCCTGGAACTGGCTTTCCTTGGCCCACATGAATTGGTCAGGATCTCACCAGCCTGTGACTTTCTCCATGCTTTTCCTTCTGCCCAGAGGCTGCTGTCCATTCGTACTCTCCTAAGATACTCAGCTGGCCCCTCACAGAAGGATTCTTACACACACACGCAGGTAAACCTCCAGGCTCCCAAATCCTCTCACAATTGTAAACACACACACATGCACGCAGGCACGCATCACGCAGGTAACCTTTCCTCCAGGCTCCCAAATCACCTGTCCACAAAAACTGCCTTCAGCAGCTGCTTAACCTGCATGCTTAAGGCATTAAATCCTCACAGAACTGTGTATTAGGGATTATCAGTCCTCCTTGATGTAGGAAGGTTTAGGAAAGTGAGAAGTTAAGTCACACATCTCCAGCCCCTCTCCGGGGCCCCCACTGGCTGGAGCAGTGACCCCAGTAGAGGGGAGTACTTAAATGCTGCTTATTATTGCTGAGAACGTCTCCAGGAACTGGAGTCTTGGTGGGGCCGGGAGGGTTTGCTCTCTGATTACTGCGAAAAAGCCGGTTCTGTCAACGCAGACTTCAGTAAATTACCTCGGCAAGTGATTTTCCCCTCTTTGGGCCTCAGTTTCCCTTTCTGTAAAATAGGGGTGAGCAGGACTGGGCTCGGGACCGGTAAGTCCTGTCCGGCTGAGCGTCGATCACTCCGAGGAGTTTGCCTCCACCATTCCCAAGCCCGCCCCGGAGCGCTCGCGGGGGCGGGACGGCCCCCCAGGACGCAGGGATCCGATCCTCGCCAAGGCGTTCCGGTCAGCAGCAGCCCCGCCACTCCCCCGGCCCTGCCGCGCTGGGAAGCCCCAGTCCCCGCCAGCCCAGTCGCGCTGGCGCTTTAAGGTCGGGCGAGGCCGGCTGGGCGACAGCGCTAGACACCTGGAGCTGCCCGGAGCCGCCTGGAGTCTCGGCGGGACCCGGCGGCAGGCGAGGACGTGCGGGAGAGGTGGGGCGGGCGCGGTCACCACCGGAGTGGAGAGAAGGCCTGGGTCTCGAGCGCCCCTGCGAGCCCTGCCGCAGCGGCAGAGCCCAGCGGGGAGCGCGCAGCCCTCGGGGCCGAAGCCAGGGGTGAGGCCGGGCTCGGGTCCCTGCTCACCCGGCGCGGGCGGCCGAGAGGGCGCGGCTGGTGAGGCCTGGACGGGCCCGGGAGCCCGGCCTCGCTTTCGCCGGCTGAGGAGCAGGGGTGGGGGTGGCGGGCCAGGGCCTCCCCCTAACGCCCCTGCCTCCTGCAGACCCGAGGGTCGCTGCCGGCAGGGTCGCTCTGCCCTGGCGTTCCCCGCAGCCACGCCTTCACCCGCGCCCAGCTCCCCGCGCGCCTGGACAGCGCCTGCCACCCGCCGCGCCATGGCCCTGCCCCAGGTGGGTGGAAACGGCCTTCTCTCTCCTTCGCGGGCACTCAGCCTCTTCTACCGCCGACCCTGCCCCTACCGCTTCCCCTAACCTCGGCCACAGTGGCTTGGTGGGGAAAGTGTGGACATCCCGGGCTCCGCCTAGTTTTTATCTTGCTGGGTGGCCTGGGGGCACTCAGGGCCTCAGTTGGGGGTGGTTTGGGAAATTCTTGTTAGGACGGTTTCATCTTTACAGAAAGTGGCATCTAAAGTGCCCTTATTGGGCCGGGTGGGGTGGCTCACCCCTGTAATCCCAGCACTTTGGGAGGCCGAGGCGGCAGATCACTTGAGGTCAGGAGTTCGAGACCAGCCTGGGCAACATGGCAAAACCCTATCTCTACTAAAAACACAAAAATTAGCCGGGCATGATGCTGCCACCGTAATCCTAGCTGCCCAGGAAGCTGAGGCAGGAGAATCACTTGAACCTGGGAGGCAGAGGGTGCAGTGAGTCGAGATTGTCTGACTGCACTCCAGCCTGGAAGACAGAGCAAGACGGAGTCTCAAAAAAAAAAAAAAAAAAAAAAAAGTGCCCTAGTTGGTATGGAGTAGGGCATAGAGAATGGCATAGGCTGTGCCCTGGCTCAGTGCGGGAGTGGGCACAGGAGGGAGGCTCTGTTCTCCCAACTCTCCTGACAGGAGCAGGGCCTTTCTACTAGGCTTTTACAGAAGATGCTGCCCCCTTGCCAGGGGCAGATAATAGATGCAGGCTGGCCCTGCCACCAGTGAGAAGATAGAGCAAGATGAAGGGCAGGGACAGGCACTGAACACTGCTGTGGAAATAAAAATGATCCTAATGAGATTAAATATTATCTTAATGTATTCTCATTCTCAGGAGCCATAGGGTGTTACTGTGCGCATTCCCAGGGGAGGGCACTAAGGCATGGAGAAGCAAGATTCCTGCCAGCGTCAGAGCAGGGTGCATCCTCGGTCCAGCCTTGTGTCCCCATGCCTCACCTACGGGCTGCCGTCTTGCCATCGCATTTTCATAGCCTGCTTTCCCCTTGATTTGAACTTGGAGCTGCTGAGCAGCCTGCCCGAAGTCCCTGAGCTAATGGGGAATGACCACTGTAGTCAGAGGGAGTGATCAGCAGAGCCATCTGATTCCCGGAAAGCCCACCTCTGGCTAGAGGGAGGTGGGGGCAGCCGCAGTAGACAGGCTTCTGGGAAGGGGTGAAATGAGGGCCCTGGATGGGAGCAGAGGATGCTCCAGGTAGAGGGAGCACAGGTCTAGTAGAGGCTCCAGGTGAAAGGAGTTTGGGTGAGAACACCCTACTGATAGTGACATCCCTGATCTATAATAATAATGTTCCACCTGTTCCTGGTGGAACAGGCTGCCCTTCATCCAGTGGACACTGACCTTCTCCATCCCACCCTTCCCCAGGGTGGCAGGTTAGCATGTACCCTGCCTGCTGGGGGGTTCCACATGAAAAGAGCGAGACCCACACAGAAAATGATGCTGACCCCATGTGAAAACATGCAAAGGGCAGTTGCAGGGGCTGGTCTGAGGCCCGGGAGGAGCTAAGCTGGGAAGGAGGGCCATGCATTCTAAAGACGGAGAGTGGTCGGGCCCAGTGGCTCATGCGTGTAATACCAGAACTTTGGTAGGTCTAGGTGGGTGAATCATGAGGTCAGGAGTTCGAGACCAGCCTGGCCAACATGGTGAAACCCTGTCTCTACTAAAAATACCAAAAAATTAGCCAGGCGTGGTGGTGGGTGCCTGTAATCTCAGCTACTCAGGAGGCTGATGCAGGAGAATCTCTTGAACCTGGGAGGTGGAGGTTGTGGTGAGCCGAGATCGCGCCACTGTACTCCAGCCTGGGTGAAAGAGCAAGACTCCATCTCAAAAAATTTATAACAATAATAAAAATAAAGAGTGGAGCTGCCTGTGCCAAAGACAAGCGATCTATTCATAGCACAATCTCAATTTTCTTTATGAAAAATATTGATAGACCTAGCTGTGCACACACATAGGGATTTGACTCAGACTAGACCTGGGTCCAAGTCCAGCAGTCACTCTTGTGGACAAACCGTCACCCTATTGTCACCAATCGTGGACAAATTGTCACCCTAGTGGCCACAGTGTCTTTAGGACACAGTGTTGTTGTGGGGATTAAGTGAAGGGCTACCTGTAAAGAGCTTGGCATGGTGCCCAGTCCAGTGAATGCCCAGCCTGATAAATGTACAGCACACATCTGCTGCTGTCATCATCCTGTATGCAGGACAGGGGGCAATGAACAGGAAACAGCCACCTGGGGATCCTGCTCGTTTCTGAGAGCCAAGATTAGTGGTGATTTACACTTTACTTTTTTTTTTTTTTTTTTTTTTTGAGAGGGAGTCTCACTCTGTTGCCCAGGCTGGAGTTCAGTGGCATGATCTTGGCTCACTGCAACCTCCGCATCCCGGATTCAAGTGATCCTTGTGCCTCAGCCTCTCAAGTAACTGGGATTACAGGCGTCTCCCACCATGCCCAGCTAATTTTTGTATTTCTAGTAGAGACGGGGTTTCACCATGTTGTCCAGACTGGTCCCAAACTCCTGACCTCAGGTAGTCCACCTGCCTCAGCCTCCCAAAGTGCTGGGATTACAGGCGTGAACCACCACGCCCAGCCTGTATTTTGCATTTTTATTCTCTTTTGTGGTTTTCTCATTTTTCCACAATGACCAGAGGCTATTGTTTGATAGAAAGTAAAAAGCAGGCTGGGCACAGTGGCTCAAGCCTGTAATCCCAGCACTTTGGGAAGCCGAGGCGGGTGGATCACGAGGTCAAGAGATCGAGACCATCCTGGTCAACATGGTGAAACCCCATCTCTATTAAAAAAAAATACAAAAAATTAGCTGGGCATGGTGGCACATACCTATAATCCCAGCTACTCAGGAGGTTGAGGCAGGAGAATTGCCTGAACCCAGGAGGCAGAGGCTGTGGTGAGCCGAGATCGCGCCATTGCACTCCAGCCTGGGTAACAAGAGCGAAACTCCGTCTCAAAAAAAAAAAAAAAAAGAAAAAGAAAAAAAAGAAAGTAAAAAGCAGTGTAGGTTGCCCCATGCAGGCCTGCCTGGCTGTGTGCTCCTTGAGTGCTGAGAACCCTGCTGTATCTGGCTTTGGACAAGGTCCTTCACCTTTTCGGGCTCATTCTCCTCATTTGTAAAATGGGAATTTTCCTCTGGCCTGCCCACCCGCGGGGAGGCAGGTGCGATGCTGGGTGTGAAGGGAACTATTGAGTACCGTAACATACAGGCAAGGGTTACTGTTCTTGATTTGCTTGTGTGTCTTGTTTTCTGAATTTTTTTTTTCCACAAACAGGTTTCCCCTCTTGACAGCCTCTCCTAGCTCTTTGACTTTGAGGATGGGGGGCAGGGTAGTCAGAATTTTTTTCTCCCACCATGAAAAGGCTTTGAGCTGGAGACAGGAGGCACTTGTCCCCCAGACAGAATCACAGGAAGAGAACTGCAGGTAATTTATAAATGGAATTCTCTATATGCGTCCAGAGGTCTTGGGAAAGACTGAGGTCCGCTCCCAGAGCTCCGCTTTGTACACATTTTCTCTCTCTCTCTCTCATACACACACACAAGCACACACACACACACACACACACACACACACACACGTGTTTTTAAACACATTTGGTAACATGCCCTTTTGAAATCTAAAGCTTCATCTACTACGTCTTGAACATTTGCCACACCCTTCAGCCCCTGTGGGATCATGCCTTTGAGCGGCTGCACAGCAGCGTGTCATTTGGATCTATTGTCGTTTGGCTGGGCAAGCCCCACTTGGAAGGGATTTCTGATCACTGAAGCATTGCTTTAAGGTCTGTGGCCCTGCTCCCTGCTTCACAGGCTCAGCCTCAGGAAGAGGAGACAGTGCTTCTGCAAATCCTCCTAGCAGCCCCCTAGAGAGCCTGCATTTTATTCAACGAGGAAGCTGGCCTGGGGCAGGTGAGAGGCTTACCCCATGATACAGCTACAGAGGAGGGGGACCAAAGCCAGGACTATCCTTCATGTCCCTGTGGCTGTGGCAGCTAGAATCCTGCACTGCCTCCTCTCTCCCAGCTCTTCACAACTGTGAGGGTGGATTTTTACCCAACCAGCCTTTATTTATCCAGCAACACTTTCCCTTGGATCAGAGGATTTATCGAGCAGCTATTATGTGCTAAGCACTGAGGGGATATAGTGGTGAACAAGACCAAGATGGACTTTGCACTCAGAAAACTCACAGATGGGGGAGTGAGACAAGTGAAGCAGAAGTTAAACACAGGTTTCTGCTGTGGCAAAGGTGGCCCAGGGCACTCGGGGGTTTCAAGTTAAAGCGTCTTCAGAGAAGGCTTCTGTGGTGAGGCCGAGCTGAGCCTTGAGGGGAGTTAACGGGAAGTTACAGGTACAGGGAATGGAAGGTACAATGGGCAGCCTAGAAATTGGCTTTGGGGACAACCCAGACATCTAGGTTTCAACCTCCTACGTCTGTGACCCGGGGCCAGGACCCTTCCAGGATTCCCCCTGTGCATAGTTCTATGAGACAGCACTGTATGCATAATTTAGTATTCTGAGTTGAAGAAAGTAAGATACGATGTTTCCTTCTCTTGTCAAACCTTTGTGCTGAGCTTGATGTTTAAAAAAAATAGGCTAATATTAATTGTTGAATCTAGAGATTATGCCATAGTTTACCCATCATTTCTTCATAATCGCACATTTTAGCACTTTCCAAATTATGACCACTATTAATAAAGCCACGATAAACATCTGTGTGTGTGTGTGTGTGTGTGTGTGTGTGTGTGTGTGAGACAGAGTCTTGCTCTGTCACCCAGGCTGGAGTGCAGTGGTGCCGTCTTGGCTCACTGCAACCTCCACTTCCCAGGTTCAGATGATTCTCCTGCCTCACCCTCCCAAGCAGCTGGGATTATAGGTACACGCCCCCACGCTCAGCTAATTTTTGTATTTTTAGTAGAGATGGGATTTGGCCATGTAGGCCAGACTGGTCTCGAACTCCTGACCTCAGGTGACTGCCCACCTTGGCCTCCCAAAGTGCTGGGATTACAGGCGTGAGCCACTGCGTCGGGCCTGGTGAACATCCTTTTCCAGAAAGTTTTGCTCCATGTTGTGAGTTTCTGCTTCAGACTCTTCAGTGCCTCCTCTTTCTCACTTGCTCTGGGTCTTGGTATCTTCCTCTGTTCAGTAACAGTGCCCCTCTCTCAAGATTGTGACCAGATGAAGCCAGGCATGCATAACCAGCAAGCCCTGATCCTGGCAGGCCTAGAGGTTCCAACATGGGTTCACTTCCCTCTGTCCCAGCTCCCTGTGCAGTAGTCAGGGTGGAGAGTCAGACTCACCAGGCAGACGGAGCCCCTCAGGCCTGGAGGGAGGCCCCGAGTGAAAGTGAAAGTGAGCTTACTTACTGAGCTCCTGCGATGTCCCAGGCCTGGTGCTGATCGTGCTTATCTCTGATCTTCTAAATAGCCTGGCAAAGTCAGGGCATCATCTCCACTTCAAAGAGGAGGAGACTGAGGCCCAGAGGAGTTAAGTGACTTCTCCAAGTTTGTGCAGTGACCTCCGGCAGAGGAGGATTCGTAGCTGCCCTCCAGCACCTTTCGTATGGCCCATTTCCTCTTCTCTCTCCTCTGTGTCCAGATGTGTGATGGGAGCCATGTGGCCTCCACCCTGCGGTATTGCATGACGGTCAGCGGCACAGTGGTTCTGGTGGCTGGGACGCTGTGCTTCGCTTGGTGGAGCGAAGGGGATGCAAGCACCCAGCCTGGCCAGCTGGCCACACCGACGGACTACCCGGTGCCCAAGGGACCCAGCCCCCTGCTCAGGTCGGTCAGCTTCGTCTGCTGTGGTGCAGGTGGCCTGCTGCTACTCATTGGCCTGCTGTGGTCTGTCAAGTCCAGCACCCGGGGGCCAACCCGATGGGACCCCTACCACCTCTCCAGAGACCTGTACTACCTCACTGTGGAGTCCTCAGAGAAGGAGAGCTGCAGGTCAGCAGGGCAGGGTGGGGCAATGGGTGGGGACTGCAAGTAGGGGCCAGTCACACCAGCCAGCATTTGTAATCCCAGCAAACTCTCATGGCGTTCCTCCTTTGGATCAGGCCTTGCCCTGTGCCCTGGGTACATGAAAGCTGATCAGTACAGCCCTGAAGGAGTTTATAGCCCCATGACAGAGGCTGATGATGACCAACCAGAGTAGGCTGTGCTGTGAGAGAGAGGCCTGTCTTCTGAAGACATGGAGAAACCCAGGAAGGCTGCCTGGAGGAGGTAGCAGCTGAGCCCAGCTTTGTATGGGACAGAATAGCAGAGGGTTAAAAGCCTAGGCACAAGAGTCAGAGCCAGATCCACTGGGACCCTGTCCTGGTTCTATCACAAACTAGCAGTGGGGCTTTGAGTAGGTCATGCAATCCCCCTAAACTTTAATTTCCTCATTTGAAATAAGTAGGACTAATAGCAACAGCAATGATAGCAAACGCCTCTGCAGTGCTCGCCACGTGCCAGGCACTGTTCTAAGTTCTCCTCCGTACTGACTCATCGGATCCTTACAGCAGCCCTCCGAAGGTGGGCACTGTTATGAATTCCATTTGTAGAGGAGGAAACGAAGGCATGGGGACACTAAGTCACTCCCCCAAGGACATCAGCTAGCGTGTGTCAGAACTAGGACCTGAACGCGGGCAGTCCGGCCTCAGAGTCTGCTCATGCCCACTCCCTACTTCAGGTGACGCTTGGGAAAATGAAATGACTTATGTACGTTGAGCTTTAGCCCAGTGCCTGGCACACGGTAGGTGCACAGCAAATGTCAACTTTTCCTCTGGTGGACACGGTGGAGAGAGGCATTTTAGGGAGGCAAAAGAGCGTGCACAAGGGTGTGGGGTCGGGGACAGAGTGTTGCATGAAGACGACACCTCTCAACCCTTGATTTTCATTGTCGGTCTCCCCAGCCTGCCTTGCATCATTCTTCCTTAGACTTTTTTTTTTTCTAAATTCCTCCTCCATGAAATTGTAACACCCAGATGCACTGCATATTTATGTTCTATATGCATATCTGTGCTTTATACATAAAAAGAGCATAACTCTTCCCAAGAGCCAGTGTTTGTCCTGTTGAGAACGCATGCATTATACATACCTTTTTATCTACTTATTTATTCAACAAAGTATGGAGTGCGCCTATGTGCCAGGGGCCCGCGTACATATCTCCTGTCCTTTCCATTGCCTCCAAGGTAAGAATGACTGTTGCGTCTGCAGAAAAGGAAGCGAAGGCATAGCTAGAAAGTGGCAGGGGCCTGCTGGCTGCATAGCTGACATTCTTCCGCCCACCCCACTCCTAAGCTCTGGATCCCTGGGTGTGAGGGGCTAAGCCGGACTGCCGTGAGCTGACCTGGGACCTGGGACCCGGATGCTCTTCTTCCCTGTCTTAAGTAAGAGGGAAAATGCATTCTGAGTTAGAGAATGTAGGAGTATTCCCACCACCAACCTGTGACTTCTTAGAGCTAGAGATGGTGCAGAACATCTCATAGGTTGGCCCTCTGTGTCTGTGGGTCTGCATCCATGATTCAACCAACCATGGATCCTGGTTGGCACACAGTAGGTGCACAGCAAATCTCAACTTTTCCTCTAGGGGACATGGTGGAAAAGAGGCAGTCTCTGGTGGTGCCTGCTGTGGGTTACTTCAGGTCAGAAGCAAAGCCTTCCTGGGCAGATGGCTTGGGCAGGTCCCTTCTCCCTTGGGCCTCAGCTTCCCCATTTATTGATCTACTTATTCTTTCACTCACGTACCAAATACTGATTGAGCATACGTAGGTATGCTGGGTCCCATCCAGACAGGATCCATGAGAAAAGAATTATGTCTGTGCTAAACATATACAAACTTCTGTTTCTTGTCATCATTCCCTAAACAATATAGCGTAACAACTATTTATACAGCATTTACATAGTGTGAGATATTTCAGGGCCTTGGGGATTCTCCAGCCAAACCCTTCACTTCTCAGATGAGAGACCTGGGTCTCAGAAAGACCATGTGACCTACCTTGTCATGCAGTGAGTTAGCGGTCAGTTGGAACCAGGCTGGGTCCCAGATGGCCTGGACCAGAGCCTGCTCCTCCCAGCCAGCCAGGTGTGAGTACAGGGGGTGCGTGTTGCCTGTACACACAGCCATATTGATGCAACAGGGTCTAGGCACAGCTGTGTCTGGCAGGTGGGGCCCCTTGGCCTTCACTCTCAGCGGGTCAGGGAGGAAGCCCACCCAGGAGGCCACAGGGTGCCCCCTAGCCCATCAAGCTCCAAGACCCAAGTCGTAGACTCAGAAACTGGGTAACTGGGGGTCGAGGAGGCCGCTTCTGCTGTGGCGCTCTTTCCTGTTCCGAGGCTGACCCAGTCCAGCTGCCTGCAGAGCCCAGCGTCTGGCCCCTTGGGTGGCTGCTCTGCGATTCCTGGTCCCAGGCACCTCAGTCTCTGGTGGTACCTGCTGTGGATAACTTCAGGTCAGAAACAAAGCCTTCCTGGGCAGATGGCTCTGACAGGTCCCTTTCCCTCTTGGGCCTCAGTTTATTCCCCATATATATATCCCCATGTATTCATCTACTTATTCTTTCATGCATGTACCTACTATTGATTGAGCATACTTAGGTATGCTGGGTCCTACTCAGAGAACTGACAGTACCGCAGTGAGCAACACAGAGAAAACCCTGCCCTCAGGAAGCTCATCTCTTCAGTGTAAGTCCCCTAATGAGGCAGCTGGAATGGGGCTTCCAGCAGTCCCTGTCCTTTCTTTTATAAGGTGGGAGTCCTTGAGGATGTTACTTAGACCCTCTGAGATGTGTCTGATGCCCCATCTCTCAGCAGGCGTGACAGACCTTTCCCCTGTGGTCGCTGTCGGGCTCATATGGGGTAGAGTTAGGGAAGCGTGTACTCTGTAGCTGGTGCACACATCCGCTTTCTCTGCCCTTCCTGTTTTAGTTTACAGTGAGCTCTCGTGCCCACTAATTGATTTGAGCCTCAACTGCTTATGAGGTAAGTGTAAGGACTGGGTCCATTTGACAGCTGAGAAAACTGAGGTGAGGAGAGATGAGGTGGCTTGGGGGAGAGGTGTGACAGGTGGACTTAGCTTGAGCTTTGCAGTCAGGCAAAGCTGCGGCTTTGCCACTTAGTTGACACGTGACCTTTACTCATCCATAAAATGGGTGCAGGCCTCTACCCCCCAGGTAGAGGTCGTGAATAAGAAGATTCCAGCACTTAAGTGTTAGGCAAATTGTATTCCATCCCTTGTCCCACTCCTGGCTTTGCCTGACTCTCCTGAAGGGCGGTGGAGCTGGCACCAGGCCCAAGTGTCCAGCCCCCAGCAAGCTCCAAAGAGTAGGGTGAGCCCTGGCCTCCGTGGCACTTCCTATGTGGGGAGACCACCATGGCCCCACGCAGCTGCAGAGGTGCCACATCCAAAGGCACTGAGAATGGGGACCTGCTCCCAGATGGTGCCACGTGGCTGCCCTGCTCGCTGAGTTCCTGGCATCCTTGACGGTGACCTTGGTGACTTGGAGCTGGGCCGGCCCAACTGGCCACTAAGGTGATAGAGGTGGGGTGAGGGCTGCTTCACGTCTGTCCTCTAAGTAAACTTCCTGCTGTGAGCAGAGCTCACGGGCACCTGTGCCCTGCCCTGCCAGCTGTCACCTGCTGGGGTGGCCCCAGACCTATCCAAAGCCTGTCTCAGGTGTCCAGGGCTCCAAGCGTGGCCGGGGCATGGCTGGGAGATGAATAGTCAGGAGATGGGGCTTTGGAAGCTAATTACTCACACTTCTCTGATTGTTGTGAAACATTTTTTTTCCCATTTTTTCTTTCCCTGGATCTGAAAGGGGAATTATTATCCCCATTTTACAGATCAGGAGAAAGAGTTTCACAGAAGATATGAATGTGGTCCAAGTCACACAGCAATAGAACTCAATTTGCCTGCCTCCAGGAGCAATATTCTCTGTCCTGCCCTCATCTGCAAGGATGCTGGGAGCTCAGAGGAGGGCGAGGACAGGCACCTCTCAGCTTCCTGGGCTGTCTTCCAGAGAAGGAAGGAAGGTCTGAGAGTTCACAGGGGCCCTGGACAGGGAGTTTCATGTTTGGGACTCCCAGCTGGTGCCCTGCCCTGTACTGACCTACAGGCTGGGTTTCAAATCCAGGATCCCATCAATCTGCTCCATCACCCTGGTCTGTGGCTGGGAGCAGTGAGGCTCCGCAGGCTGCTGTGAGGCTGAGAAGACACATTGCCAGAGAAAGGCCGCGTCTCCGGTGGGTGCTGGGTGTTCACCTGCGGGGCAGCAGCAGGTTCCCAGCAGGGGCCCCTCCGTCAGCCCTGGAGCTAAGTCCCATCTACTGCTTCTTCTGTTCCCTAGACTGGCCTCTTGCCATGGGCCCCTACTTGGTCTAGGCAGTAGGACCACAGGTATGGATTAAACTGCTTCCCAGCAGCTCCAAACCCACAAGCCCGGCAAGTGACTCAGCCTCTCTGAGCCTGTGGGGCCTGCCATGCGTGAGGCCTGGGATAAGCTTTGCTCTCCCACCCATTCCCCTTGCGATTCTGTTCACGACCCCACTTACGTCGCAGGCATTGAGTGCCGCCCTGCGTGAACTCATTTAACCTGCCCTCTGTCTGTGAGGCAGGTGCCACTATTGTGCCCCATTTTACAGATGAAACCAGGCCCCCATGAATGGAATTACTGATCTCTGACCCCTTGATCTCCCAGCAGGAACATGGCTGAGCAGGGAGGTGAACCAGCCGGTGCTTAGACTCACAACCACCCTGAGTGTTGGAAGGGACCTTCAGAATCACCCCCAAAGCAGGAGCAGCCCACATCTAGGATCAGTGACATTCCCACCCCACTCCCCACTGTGTGTCCCAGGTGGGGAAGGGGCATTGGATCCCCGGAGATGACCCACCGGGGCTCTGAGGGCGCTGACGGCCAGTCTCATTCCTGCCAGCTGGCTGGGGCGTGGGTGATCTGCCTCGGGGTCTGGCCTGCAGAGCCTCGGTCAGCGAGCCTCCAAGGACCTGGTCTCTGCCTCAAGCCCCTGTGGGGTGGTTTAGTTGGCCAGGGGTGGGGATAAGAATAGAGTCACAGGACAGCAAAACTGTCCAGAGGTAGAAGTGATTGATCTGGCAAGTGGTAAGCTCTTCATCCCTGGAGGTATGCAGGCAGAGATAATCACTTGGCACACATCAATCATATCGAAGTGTAAAGCATCCAGATGGGCAGAGGAATTGAGGTCTCTCATTCTGCCCTGAGCACCCCAGTTCTGACCTTGTAAAGGATATTTTAATAGGTGAGAGTCTTTCTGTCCATGGACCATCACTCAGTCTTTCAACAAACACCCCTCAGCCCCTGGACTCTCAGTCACTGCCCTAGGGTAAGACTTTGCCTGCAGAGAGAACTGAGGAGGCACAAGGAGGTTTTGGGGACACAGACAGGGAACTAACTCTCTGGATCAGGGAGGGGGTGGCGGGAAGACTGAGGGCCGCAGGAGCTGGCTCCTGCCAAGTTTCAACTATGTATATGGGCCCCTGGGGACCCGTGAAGGCTTGCAGCAGGGTGGGAAGCCTTTTCCGCCCCCAGCTTTCCTCACTGTCTCCCTGGCAGGCAGCAGCTCTGCCCCAGCCCCTGCTAACAGCCGCTCTTCTGTTTCCACAGGTCCCCCAAGGTGGTTGTCATCCCCACTTATGAGGAAGCCGTGAGCTGCCAGCTGGCTGAGGGGCCCCCAGCGCCACCTGCATACCCTACAGAGGAAGCGCCGGAGCCACGTGCCTCGGGGGACGCCCTGCTGGGCACCCAGCCCCCCTGGCCTCCGCCCAGCTATGAGAGCATAAGCCTTGCTCTTGATGCCATTTCTGCAGAGACAACAGCAATTGCCGAGCGCGCCTGCTCAGGCCTGGCTCAGACTGCAGCGGGAGGAAGTTAAAGGTTCCTAGCGGGCCCTGAATCCAGAGACAAAAGTGCTGTGCCTCTCCAGAGCCTTGTGCAGTGCCTGGGACACAGTAGGCACTCAACAAATGTTCCTTCGAAGGCTGTTCTATTTATCTATTCCTGTATAACAAGCCACCCACAATTTAGTGACTTAAAATAAATCCCAGTTTCTGATGTCTCAGGACTCTATGAGTTGCCTAGGCCCAGCTGGGGGCACTCTGCCCTCGGTGGCATGGGTGGGGCTGCAGTCCTCAGGGGCCCAACTGGCCAGAACGTTCAGGGTGGCACTCCTCTGGCCAGCAGTGAGCGGCTGGCTGTCAGCTGGGAGACTGTGCAGGTGAGAAGGCCGGCCCGCGGCAGAGGCAGAGCTGTGCGCACATCATGTTTCTAACCAGAAGAGCATGGCTCCGAATCCAATCACCTATGCATAGGCTCCACCACGCACCTTTTTTTTTTTTTTTTTGAGAAAGGATCTCCACTGTGTTACCCAGGCTGGAGTGCAGTGGCTCAATCAGGACTCGCTGCAGCCTCTTCCTCCCAGGCTCAAGCGATCCTCCCACCTCAGCCTCCCAAGTAGCTGGAAACACAAGCATGACCAACTCATTTTTGAAAATTTGTTGTAGAGAGGGAGCTTGCTGTGTTGCCCAGGCCCGTCTGAACTCCCAGCCTCCTGAAGTGTTAGGATTACGGACGTAAGCCACTGTGCCTAGTCTACCATGTACCATCTTAGTGACTTGGACAAGTGACTTTCCCTCTCTCTGCTTCAGTCTCCTCATCTGTAAAATGGGAATTGAGGATTCCCTCGAAGAACTGATTTGTGAAGAATCAATGAGATGGTAGCAACTGACGTGTGAGTGTGAACTCACACGGAGGCTGCAGTCAGTGGCGCTGTGCTACAGCACCAGATAATAAAGGCAGGGGTCTCAGCCCTAAGCCACGTAGTAAGTATGCAATCATTGTCAGTCCTATTAGTAGAGGTAACCCTCCTCCACCAAGTGCAAATTCAGCCTCTGCTCCCATACTTCCTGTGACGGGAAGCTCACGACTTTCGCTCACTTTGCAGATATGGCAGAAACACCGACTTCTGACCAGCTCCATTCTGCAGCCCGTCTCTAGCCCACCCCACTTCCATGAAAATAGGTGAAGTCACCTTCCCAGGGTCACACTACCAGCAGGGGTCCAAAGGCCTGGGGCTTAGTCAGCTGGAGAAGGGTGTCATCTGCAGAGCCTACTGTGCGCTGGGCCAGGTCCTCTGCCATTGTGTCATCTTCAAAGTGCCCTGTGACAAGTGGTGGTGTCAGCATTTAACAGGTGAGGAACTAGCCTCGGAGAGGTAAAAATCTCAGACACTAAAGTCACAGCCGGAGGCGTGGGGTCCTCCCTTCTAGGCTGTGTCATTGTCACAGTAGCTGCCATCTAATCTGGTCTTGGTCTCTCTGCTTCTACCTGAGGCTCCTGCAGTCTCTTCTCTGCCCAGCAGGCAGAGTGAGGTGTTCAGACCCAGGCAGATCAAGACCTCCTACCCCCACAGCCAGAACCTGGCATGGCTCCCAGCTCACTTTCAATAATGAAAGCCCAGACACTGGTCTGGGGAGAGGGGGGCTCTGAGGTCTGGCCTGAGCCTGCCCTCTCTCCTGACCCTCTCATCGCCTGCACTCCTCCCCCTGTTCTCTGCTCCAGCCAGTCTCACTGAGGCCTTCGCACTGGCTCTTCCCTCTCTCCTGAAACACTTCCTGGGGGCTGGCTCCTCAGAAACTGGGGCTCTTTTCTGGCCCTCTCCCTCCCTCATCACCAAAACCTGGATCCCTCCTGTGCCCCCCTCCCTTCCTGTCCTCTACAGTCACTGCTTCACCCTCCCCTTCTTGGTATTAACTCAGGACAATCCAGGAGTCTGGAGGTGTAGGTGTGAAGTGACCTTAGGCTGGACACACACACACACACACACACGGACAGGCGGGTTAGGTGAGTTAATGAGTGGCCAGTGTGACCAGGAGGCACCACTTTACTGGGCAGGTGCTAAAGGGACGAGGGTGGGGAGGGCCGGAGGCACAGAGAGACCTTTCCTGCCTTTCTCTTCGATCCACTCATCTGTGTCCTAACAGGAAGCCCGCAGGAGAATCCATGACTTGCTCAAGGTCAACAGCGTCATGGAAGAGGCTGAGTCAGGGCTGCAGAGGGAGACAGTCTCCTGACCAAGCCATGTTACTGTCCCCTTCCAAGCCGAAGTGGCCTCGCTGTGAACAGGGTTCCTCGTGCCCATGGCAAGGTGCCTGACCACGGAGCCACATGAGGGCCAGCTCTGCCACTTTGCAGCCACATGAGGTGCCCCAGCTGTGCCACTCTGCAGCCCGCAGGAGCCACTAGTTTGCTTGCTGGCGTCTTTTCTCTTGGACCCAACCATCCAGTTTCTTCACCTACTATTCAGATCATATCTTCTGCTGGCCACCAGAGTCTCAGATGATAGGGATCCTCAGAGTTCAGGCTCTCCTGCACTTTCCTTGGGTCCCTCCCGGGCTTCTGTTACCTGCTGGGTGGGCTGGTGATTTCTGCACCGGGAGCTCTCCACCTTAAATCAGCCCACCCCAGTCAGAAATCCCTATGCTCTCTGCTCAATGCCTCATTACTGCTCACTGGGATCTTTCTCTCTCTCATTGAAAAATTAAAATCTGGTTCTGGTCTTTCCCCTGCAACCTCATCTAACCTCTGTGAAAAATGTCAGAGACCTTAGCCCCAGGAGGTTTCCTGCCTGCGTTTCCTCTCCAGCCTCCCTCTCCCAGGCACGCAGATTCCATTCCTCGGTTCACACTCACATCCAGAGCCTACCTACTCTGTTCTAGCCCCCGAGGATACAGCAGTGCTCAAAACAAAGTCCCTACCCTGTGGGGGCTGGAGTTCTAGTTGAGGGAAACAGAGACAAGAGACAAGATCGTCATGTGTATGTATGATAGGTGGCTGTGAGCACCACGGAGAAACATGGGGAAAGGAATACAGGGAACCCCTGGGGAGGCGAGTCTGCAGTTTTAGAGCAGGATCAGGGAAGGCCTCACTGTGAAGGCGACATTTGGGCAAAGGCCTGAAGGAGGGAAAGGAGGGAACTGTGCAGCTATCTGGAAGAACAGCACTCCAGGCAGAAGGAACAGCAGGTGCGGGGCCCTGGGGTGCCCGTGTGTTCCCGGAACAGCATGGGGTCAGGGTGGTGGAGCGGGTGAGTGAGAGGGGGCGTGGCAGGAAGCCAGCTGAGAGGATTGATGTGCAGGTATCGTGGGCCAGTTATCCAGAGCCTTTCGGGTCATCTTAAAGCATTTGGCTTTTACTCTGATGAGATGAGGAGCCATTCCAGGGCCCCATGTAGAAGAAAGACAGGATCTGACCCAGTAGTGGGGTTGCAAAGAGACTTCCAAGGTCAGGGATGGAAGCAGAGACCAGGTCGGGAGAGAAACAGATGATAGAGGCTCAGACCTGGTGATGAGCAGTTGCGGGGGTGAGAAGTGATTGGATTCTTGTATCTTGGGGGTAGAGCCCACAGGATGTGGGTGTGAGAAAGCAGGTGAGGTTGGTTCCCTGGATGGCTAACTGGAAGGATGGGGGTGCGAGAGGGGCATGTCTGGAGAGGAGGAGGTCAATGCAGGCAGCCTGTGCACAGGGCTTAGAGCTTTCTCTCCTGCCGTGTGGGCGGTTACATGCCTCAGTGCCTTTGCACATGCTGGCCTCTGTGCCTGGAAGGCTCTTCCTGCCCTGTCAGACTCCAGCGCCTTCTCAAGGGTCCCTTCTGTGACTCTGCCCCTTCACCCTTCATCCCCATCTGCTCCTCCCTCTGTTTTGTGCACCGTCAGGACCCTCATGCATCGCAGCGCCATTTCCACATTGTGCCCAGAAGGTGCCCCAGAAGTTAGGACTGAGCGCCATTCATCCTTGAAGCCCTCTGTTTACGAGTTCCTAACACCTCAGTGTCCCCCACACCGTAGGGGCTCAACCAGAGATCCTGAGGACCTGGGTCGACTCCTAGCTCTACTGTTTGTTCCCAGGTTCTGCCACGTTGGGTCGCTCTCCTTGCCTGCCCGGGCCGGGGTGTCTACCTCTGTCAAATGGGGTGCTCTTTCCCTCCCTGCCTCGGGGCGTCTGGGGAGCCCGCTCGGAGGATCCCGAGAGCAGGGGTTGGCGCGCCCTCTGCCGGAGGACGACAGGCTCCGCGCGCTCTGCTCCCCCGTCCCCGCTTGGCCCGGGGAGGTGAAGTCAGAGGGAGCGGACGGCAGGAGATGAAGGGGAGCTGCTGCACCCGGACTTTTCCAGCGCACCCTACACACATGTCCTCATTTAATCTCCAGCGCGACTCTGTGGAAGAGCTTAGGTGACACCATTTTCCTGCGCGCCTACTTGTTTCCTGCTTGTTACTGAGTGTCTTACTCGTTAGTTTTGTTTGTTTGTTTGTTTGTTTTTAAGGGGAGAAGCAACTCAGAGAGAAGAGGAGCAAAGAAGGCTGTAAAGGAAAGAAGGCGCGAGAGGAGGAGAGTGCCCGGGTGACCGCGAGGCATCTGAGGAATGGCTGAAGACCAGATCCATCTACGTGGGGCTGGGAGGGGGTCCCGTGACCGCTCAGTCGCCGACTCCGCGGAGGGAGACTTTGACCAGCCCCTGCCACTCTGCGGCCTCGGTTTTCTCGCCTGTGAAACGGGGCCGATGACTCTCCTCCCCGCGGCGACTGCTCTTCACCGGTCCGAGCCCAGCCACCCACCCCCGGGGGAGGGGCCTTGCCCAGCGCGAGCTACGACGGCCGCCGGGGGGTGCACGAGGCCCTGCGGGACCGCGGCTGCGGAGACCGTTCCCGCCGCCCCCCTGGGCCCCAGGGCTGAGGTCCCTGGGGCCTCCGTCTCCTTGCCAGGGAGGAGGGGCACTGGTTAGGTGACACGAGACTCGCCGTTTCTCTTCTCTGAGCCTGTAGCAGATGATAATAACATTTCCCTAGACGGTCTTGCTTTGTTAATAGTGACAGCTTACAAAGCACTTGTCCCTTCCCAGCCCTTTATGTCCCTTCCCTGTACAGAACCTGGGAGGCGGCTCAATAGCTATCCCCGATCTGCAGGTGACAAAATTCAAGCCCGGAGCAGAGCTAAGAACCAGTCCTGGCCATGACCTGATCGCTCAGTCATCGCTCAGCCAGGGCCCCTGAGCTCCCTCCTGGAC